TATGCTGACAGAATCGTTTCTTCGGTTGTTAAACATCCATCGGCATATCCACAGATTAGTTCACCAATGGAATGACCGATTATAAAATCCGGAACTATACCAATGGATGTTAAAAGATCGACTATTCCAATCTGTAATATAAATATACTATACTATACATATAAAAGAAATATCTTTCTATTTGTTTTAAATAAAAAAAGAATTATAAAATAAAAATTTAATTATATTTGATACATATGAAATATATTTATGAAGTTTAAACAAAAAATTTTCCTTTTTTACCTGCAGTCCAACGAGTGCTAAAAATAAATTAATGATATTGCTGGAAATATTTTTATTATCACTTATTAAAATATCTGTAAGAAAAATGCCATAAGATCTCAAAACAATATCGCATTTCTGGACTGCCTTGGCAAATACTGGGAATTTCATTAGGGCTCGACCTGCTAAAATTTTAATAAAAATTTTTTAATTTCTTAGCTTTAATATATATCTACAAATACGTATATGCACGCGCGCTCATGTACACACCACACTTACTCATTCCAGACCATTGAGATCCTAGTCCAGAAAATATGAAACAAATTGGCCGCTTTATATATTGATGCTCTATTTTATTAATTGTATTATAAGATGTTTTAGATCCAGTTATCATGTATCCTCTATAAAGGTGACCTTCTATGTTATCATTATGAACATGGTGTAACAGAGAGATGTATTCTATATCGACAGATCGACTTCGTACCTGCACATTCAGTATAAAGAAATATTTAGACGCTCCATCCTTTCGTGAAATAATTTTATTAACAATAATTATAATTGTGTAATTGCTGTAAGTGGATTATAATGAATAACTATTAATAAAATAAAGAAATATAAATTTCCCTGGTTACAGAAAGAAAAGTTATGTTCAAACATTTTGTTACAAATTTATTTAAAAATGTTTATAACTCGCATAAATAAACATTATGTCATCAATCTACCTCATAACCGATTAACTGTGATATTTATTCCGTTTTGTGTACACATATTGATTGTAATCTTCTTAAGAAAATAAATAAATGATTGGAGATGTACAATTTATAACAATAATAACAATATTGTTACAGTAATACAAAAGATAAATATAAAACTTAAACCACTTTTAAAATAAATAAAATAAGATAGTATAATATTTGCTTACGTCATCTAAAATGATTTTAACAGCCTCCTTCGTCCGTCCAGATACGACTACAAGTCTAGGTAAGTCGTTATTCGGTGCTCCATTATTGATTTTTTGTTTAGGATTTGATTTTAATAATATGTGGCAATTAGCTCCTCCAAATCCAAAGGAATTAACACCTACATAACCACCCTCCCATTCTGTTGGTTCAGTGACAATCTTTATTCTTCCTTCGATAATAGCAGTTAACTCTTTTCGCGGACACTTGAAGTGTATAGTAGGCGTAATTATACCAGTTTCCATCGCTAACAATATCTTCAAAAAATTAAATTTGTTTGTTAATAGTAATTCTAATTGTGTGATTGTTGCAAATTATTACAATGAATAACCCAGATAGCACAGATGATCGTTATGAAAGGATTTCACGAATCCTTTTTGAGTTCATAACGATCATCTCTATCTGGAAAGTTTAATAACGATATGAGAAAATTTAAATTGTTACAGTTGCAGTTTAAGCAAATTTTATATTTAAATGTTTTATTACAAATATTAACCTTTGCAATTTGGCAAAGGCCACTGGCGGGTTCGGAGTGTCCAAGATTTGATTTTATCGAGCCCATCAATAAAGGCGTGTTTCTTTTAGCACATAAAGTCTGGTCAATAGACATAATTTCCGCAGGATCACCCACTAGGGTACCAGTTGCATGAGCCTCCATGTAAGATAACTCACTAGGTGAGATTCCACATTCTTCGTAAAATTCTTCCAACAACATTTTTTGCATTTTGAACGATGGAAAAGTGATACCTTCTTCTTTAAAGCCATCGCAATTTGTTTTACCGTATACGAAGGTCGCATATATTCTCTTTGCATTTTTTGCTTTTTGCAGATACACCACTGTCATTGCATCGCTGCGCATATATCCAGAGCCCTCCTCATCAAAGGGTCTACAATAACCATCAAAAGATAGAACCCCTGAAAGAAATTGATCCTGTAATAAACCAAATTCTTCCAGTTTTGATTTTATTGCTGCATGCAAAAATATGCGATAAGCATTGGTAAAATAAACATTATGGGCAAAGTAAATTTTATTCATATTTTTATTTTACTTAAGGACGCGAATATAAACATGTATATCTTTCAGTTGTAGAGATACATTACGATATTCATATTAATTATTTTAATTTTGCATCATTAATTAAAACGAAAATATCAGTAATTTAAATACTTTTACTTTGATAAATAAAATTAGACAAATATATAAATATATATTGTCAGTATATTATAAAGTAAGTATAGTATTGTTGAAGATATAACAGTATTGTTGAAGTATATACCAAGGCGATAAAATCCAAAATTTGCGTAAGGATGGAGGCATAGATTGGCGGTAGCAACAATAGCGGCGTCACAGTTTCCAGACCGGATCATCTTGTAAGCCTCTGTCATGGCGAAATGGCTTGAGCTACATGCACTATCAAGATTAAATGATGGTCCAGTAGTGCCGAGCCAGTAAGAAATTCTGTTTGCCACGAAAGATCTATTGCACCAATATGGTATTTCACTGAGCTAATTACAACACATAATTTTTTTTTAATACTTGAAATTTTAGAATTATTAGAATACTATTAATAAGTTGTATCTTCATTTTTTATTTTTTTTTAGATTATTCGTGACTATTTATAAATTGTACACATTTTTATTTTACGTATTAAGGTATTCCTTTCATGACACAAAAGTCTTAAGAATTAACTGATTTTTTGGTACGAGAACGTTAAAATGCATATCTTTACGCCAGAAAAAAATTAAACCATATTACCGAACACATAAAGAAGAATTATGACTTTGAAAATTCGATATTTTATATGTGACGTTATCGAAAAAGTCTATTTTTTACATTTCAATGTAATAATTTGTTTATCAAATATCTTGAGATATTAAATATTAACTGCGCTACATATTCGCTAAACTCTAAACTTTCGAGAGTACCGATAAAAATACAGAGTCACCGAATATTTAAACAAAATATTTATGTTAAAAGTTGACTTGAAATGTGGTTTATAGATGAATATTTTTTATGGCAACTTTCAAGGAATTATTTGGCAACGCTGGCGCTGCAAGCTGTGCGCTCATGTCACACTTCATTCATAACGTACGGTTTATTATCAACTTTTATTTTCACAAATTGCCCCTTATTTTTGCCCACATTACTCTTCACTTTATGTTTCTTAGTTTCTTATCACTCGCATTATTATTATAAAATATCTCTCTTTGATAAAAAAAAAATGTCACAATATTCTTTGATTAATGAAATTGACACTTAACATTGACACTTTTGTTATCAACTTCACATTTTACAATCGGCGCCGACGGCGCCTTGAAAAGCGCAGCGTTGCCATATTGTTATTCTGACGGTAAAATTTACCGAAAAATGAAAAATTTCTAAATACACATAATATTTTCACTTTTTTCTTATAATTAAACATAATAATCAATTATAACTTGATTTTATATAAGTTTAATGCAATATACAAGAGTTTGCTGAGGCCCTGCTTAAACGGCTACAAAATACGCTCCTCCGTGAGAGAAATACCTTAAGGAGATAGATTTCCAAATTTTTAACAAGAATTTTACAGTTACGTTTCTTTTATGTGTACATTTTTATTAACATTATATAAATTAATTAGATTATTAAATATATCGTACATTGGATTTCAAATAGAGAGAGAAACTTTGTACATCAACGCAAATTCCCGTAAAAACACCCGTTCTTGTTCCCTGCAACTCTTTAGGATTGACACCTGCATCGATAATTGCTTCGTAAGTATGCTCTAGTATCATTCTAACCATAGGATCCATTGTATGAGCTTCCATAGCGGATATATTGAAAAATTCTGGATCGAATTTCTCTATATTGTTGATCTTACCGATTCGAAAAGGCATATCGAAGCCTATATAAATAGAATTATTTTCTATGATTATATAATGTTATGTACTTAGTTTTTTTTATATCAAGAATGATAAATGCATCAAAATGTCTTCAAAAAGATCCGCAATACTTCGATCTTTTCTCATTATGATATATACTGTTTAATTAATTTTCCAAAAACAGATAAACTACACCAAATGCTCATGTCCCGGTAAAAAATTTTTTATATAAAAACATCTAAATATATATAATCATATAATATTATATAAAATATTATAAACAAAGGTATAATAAGGCTCTGAACAAAGAATAAATAACGTAGATAGTGGGCTATGAGAGCCGACGCAAGATCTAATGTGCGGGGATATTATATTTAGAGATACTTAGTCAGTACATAAAATATTATATAAAATATGTCCATATATGTCCATACTATGTTTTTTTTTTCTTGTATAATCTCTGTTCGTATGTACAAGAAAAATAATAAGAAAAAGAATTAGAAAATAATTAAAAGGATAACTTTTGCATTGTTTTTTTTACAAAAAAAATAAAGTCTGTGCAAATGTGAAAAATTTGTTGATATACATATAATCATATTTTATATACATTCATATATGATTACATTGTATAGGCAAATAAATGAACGATGCAAAAACAATAAAAAAACAATGCAAAAATTATTCTTTTAATTATTTTCTAATTCTTTTTCTTATTATTTTTCTTGTACATACGAACAGAAATTATACAAGAGAAAAATACATATATGGACATATTTAATATATTTTATACAATATTATTTATATAATTATATGTATTTAGATGTTTTTATAAAAAAATTTTTATCAGGGTCAAATGACACGAAAAAGCTATTAGGCGCGTTCAGCAGAACAAACTGCTCAGTAGCAATCGAACTATTGGCTCTTACTTTTGGACCCAACAAATCAACGTAGCGTGTTGATAAGACGACACTCAACAGTTGTGTCTGCTGAATGCGGCCATTGTGTACGAGATAATATTTTTTTTAATACCTACATCACTAGAAATAGTATACCTAAATAACTCAAAAATGTTGTAGAATTACTTTATATAAAAATAAATTGAAAAACATTAAAAAGCAGAAATTAATTTTGAGCAAGAAATTTTAACGTGAGAAATACACATCATAATTTTAAATCTCTTTTTTCTTAATAATCACAAAGTTGTGCCAACAAATATAAAATTTATATAAAAAATTTATACACACTATACATTTCTTTCATAATTATGCTTCGGTATTTCAAATATTATTATGTCTGATGAAGTAGAATATGATATGATTCTGTCAAATAATTATGAAATAAAATAGGTATCTTAAATAAAATAAAAATAATAGGGGAGACCGGGGTTATCTGTCTACGGGGGCTGTGTCTACAGTACTGCTATCTGAGGTTTTAAGAGACAGACGTCTCTACCATTAACAAATAGTTTAGAAATGTTAGTAATTAGTAACAAATAGTTTAGAAATGCTCTACATAAGAGATTTAAACGTTGTTCGTTTTCTTGCGATACTTTTCGCAGACGCTACATACCTACGTTGAAAGAAAAGCGAAAATAATTATTCACATTTTTCGACGGTCGAAAAATTTGCTGTGCGACAGTTGTTTAAATCAAATTAAAGTAGGTACTTCATAATATTATCAATTAATATATAGTTATCAGGTGTGAGAAGCATCGAATCTTAATTCCGCATAATCTAAAATTGGCAACATGTTAAAGACTAAAAAACGGGGCTATCTGTCCTATTTTTGATGGGGCAATGTGTTCACATTTCAATGATAGATTGTTTTTTATGAATAGATAACAATGCGTAACGACAAAAGAAAGATTTTCCTTACGACGGATAAGGTATAGACATATCTAATAAAATTATACTTACTTAGAGTAATTAAAAGAACAAAAATTAAGCGAAAATCTTTTCGCAAAAACAGCGTTAGACTTTAGAATAAATGTTCGGACTTTCACTCGCTATTGTAAAAGAGTGACCTACGAGCAGCTATTTGATCCTGCGACTCAAGAACCGTCACCAAATTTTCATTTTAAAAATACACGTCGTTACATATATGAGAAAAAAGGTGAGAAAAATATATGAGAAAAATAAGGTTTATTTGTATGAATTACATATATGAGTTTGTCTTAAATTATTAAATATTTTCTATTTCAAACGCTGCCGCGGATAAAGTAAAGGTCCCAAATAAAAAAAAAAGATTAAAAAATTGAGGGGACAAAAAATTCATTACATTAATTTTGCAACGGACTCAAAATCAGTTTGATGCCACCGTATATAAAGAAAAGTCAGCTCCACGCAGGAATCTTGTCAAAAAATCTACACAAAGTGCCTACTACTGCTCTGACTCAACGACTAGGCAGTTTTTTCAATATTATATATTAATAATAAATAATATTAAAAATAAGCATAAAAATTAATATAAATAATGTGTTTTTTATTATGTGGACAGATAGCCCCTCGAATGTAGACAGATAGTCCCGTATATAGGGCTATCTGTCTATGCTTGACTTGCCTACTTAAAAAATTTACTTTTTTAAGATGATATATAAAAGATTAACAATTTTAATTATTATTATTTTTTTAATAGCAAGGTTTAAAAGGTTATACCATTAAAATTTTAGCCAAATATCTTAAAAAGGTATTTAACCCAAAGAAACTTAGCATTGTTAGATCAAATATAATATCTATGATTACTATCTATAATATAATATCTATAACATAAAAATATATATCTATAATTTTATTATATTAATTTTTCATGAATAATGTTCCAAGTGTTTCTAATAATTTATTAAAGAAAAATCGAGCAAATCATAATGTTGTGTAGTCGGATGTTTTAATAGTAATCGAAAAAATCTTGAGCTACAATTTTATCGATTTCCTGGACCATGAGAAGAAAAGAAAAGGAAAAAAAATGGATTGTGACAGTACATTGTCAAACGTAAATATTATACAAAAATATACAAATATACAAATTTTTTTTCGATAAATATTAAAAGAAACTTAACTATAAAAATTAATCTATTTTAAATTTAAGAAATAAATGTTTAGTAATTTTACTTCAGCAATCGTATCTTGCTTGTAGTCTGGACGGTATTATAATTATAAAGATGAGAATATTCAATTATTAGAAATTAAGCTGCAGTAGCTTAGTAGCTGTAAGGAGACTAAAGTTTTAGATTATATAACAACTCAATTTTTAGATTTGTCACGGTTTTTTCGGCCAGAGCAAAGGAATGCTATTAGGAGAGTCGGGTGATAGGCCTCTCGGGATAATTCCTCGCGCGAGTCAGGCAGCTCTCGAATTAATCCGTTGGGCGCCAGACGCGATGCCCTTGCGTCCACTAAATTCTCGATAACTTAACGCGAAATCGCAAAAACCAAAGTCTGTCGCACGAGGGGCCAGCCAGCTCGACCTAACAGAAGAGGGGTAGGGTAGAGGCAGTGCGACGCGGATTCGTCGAACGGACACAAAATAATTCCACATAAATCGCTAGATATTTAATGAACAATAGGTTGCGTTTATTATATATAACTCAAGAAATTATATCAGTATGATTGAGTAGTTCTATAATAGGTTGATACAAAAGTAATGCCTCCTATTTTTTTTCAATCTGGCACCATAAAAAATTTTGCGTTTTATTGAGTTGTTGCTTAAGTCTCTAGTTATATTATGTTAAGTGATATTGTGATCAGTTACGTTAGTGTGTCACACGAATAGTTCAAACTGGTGGGTGTTTTAGATACGCATAACAGACAAAGACGTGCTAAAATTTCTTACCATGGAAGTGAGTCCTATTGAAATCCATTCGTATTTCAGAAATAGTGTTATCATGAATATTTCTGACGCGAATGAATTTTGGAACTTACTTCTTTCACGGTAAGAAATTCAACCACCGCTCTTGTCTGTTATGCATATTTGAAACACGCACCAGTTCAAACTGCTCCGCAGTGACACACTCACGTAAATGATCACAGTACCACTCAATATAACTCAACTAATAGAGACTTCAAATAACAACTCATTGAAACGCAAAATTTTCTATGGCGACAAAATCAAAAGAAAAATATTAGAAGGCACTTTTGTACCGACCCTCGTATGTTGATCTGAATTGTGATTTAAAATTTAAAAAATTTTTATTCTTTGAATTGCTCTAAAACAATTAATTTTAGTTATACTTCTTAAAAAAAAAGTTATTTTGTTAATTTAAAATAGATTATATATATAATTATTAGTTAATTTTTTTTTTGATAATTTATATAAGCCATTCTTTGTATACTTATGTTTGGCGATGTACTGCCACAATCCATTTTTTTCTTCTCTTTTCTTTCCATGTTCGGAAGGAGATCGATAAAATTTTAGCTTAGGATTTTTTTGTTTACTATTAAAACATCCGACTACACAACATGCGATTTGTTCAATTTTTTTTTAATAAATTATTAGAAACACTTGGAATATTATTCATTTTTGGATTTTATTAATACTCCCAGAGTTGCGGAAAGTAACCGTTGAATGCAGCTGTCAGAGTTAACTTGCATAGCTTATATCCAATCTTAAAAAAGGCACGTTACCTGAGCGAAAGCGCGCGTTTGTGATCTCTAGTTATATTTAAATAATAGATATAAGATAAATACGCGAATATGTATCTAGTCTCAAGGGAAAAGTTTATTACAGTTATTCCATCGTCCGTGATCGCTCGAACCAAGATCCATTTTGTTAAAAA